AGCAGCCGTGTCAGCAGCCGTGTCACTGAGTGAGAGTAAACCCAGCAGAAGGGAGGTCAGCAGCCGTGTCAGCAGCCGTGTCACTGAGTGACAGTACATCCAGCAGAAGGGAGGACAGCAGCCGTGTCACTGAATGAGAGTGAACCAAGCAGAAGGGAGGTCAGCAGCCGTGTCACTGAGTGACAGTACGTCCAGCAGAAGGGAGGACAGCAGCCGTGTCATTGAGTGAGAGTGTATCCAGCAGAAGGGAGGTCAGCAGCCGTGTCATTGAGTGAGAGTGAACCCAGAAGAAGGGAGGTCAGCAGCCGTGTCACTGAGTGAGTGTGTACCCAGCAGAAGGGAGGTCAGCAGCCGTGTCATTGAGTAAGAGGGCATCCAGCAGAAGGGAGGTCAGCAGCCGTGTCATTGAGTGAGAGTGAACCCAGCAGAAGGGAGGACAGCAGCCGTGTCACTGAGTGAGAGTAAACCCAGCAGAAGGGAGGTCAGCAGCCGTGTCAGCAGCCTTGTCACTGAGTGACAGTACATCCAGCAGAAGGGAGGACAGCAGCCGTGTCAGCAGCCGTGTCACTGAGTGAGAGTAAACCCAGCAGAAGGGAGGTCAGCAGCCGTGTCAGCAGCCGTGTCACTGAGTGACAGTACATCCAGCAGAAGGGAGGACAGCAGCCGTGTCACTGAATGAGAGTGAACCCAGCAGAAGGGAGGTCAGCAGCCGTGTCATTGAGTGACAGTACGTCCAGCAGAAGGGAGGACAGCAGCCGTGTCATTGAGTGAGAGTGTATCCAGCAGAAGGGAGGTCAGCAGTCGTGTCACTGAGTGAGAGTACATCCAGCAGAAGGGAGGTCAGCAGCCGTGTCACTGTGTGAGTGTGTACCCAGCAGAAGGGAGTTCAGCAGCCGTGTCACTGAGTGACAGTACATCCAGCAGAAGGGAGGACAGCAGCCGTGTCACTGTGTGAGTGTGTACCCAGCAGAAGGGAGGTCAGCAGCCGTGTCACTGAGTGAGAGTGAACCCAGCAGAAGGGAGGTCAGCAGCCGTGTTATTGAGTGAGAGTGAACCCAGAAGAAGGGAGGTCAGCAGCCGCGTCACTGAGTGAGTGTGTACCCAGCAGAAGGGAGGTCAGCAGCCGTGTCATTGAGTAAGAGTGCATCCAGCAGAAGGGAGTTCAGCAGCCGTGTCATTGAGTGAGAGTGAACCCAGCAGAAGGGAGGACAGCAGCCGTGTCACTGAGTGAGAGTAAACCCAGCAGAAGGGAGGTCAGCAGCCGTGTCACTGAGTGACAGTACATCCAGCAGAAGGGAGGACAGCAGCCGTGTCAGCAGCCGTGTCACTGAGTGAGAGTAAACCCAGCAGAAGGGAGGTCAGCAGCCGTGTCAGCAGCCGTGTCACTGAGTGACAGTACATCCAGCAGAAGGGAGGACAGCAGCCGTGTCAGCAGCCGTGTCACTGAGTGAGAGTAAACCCAGCAGAAGGGAGGTCAGCAGCCGTGTCAGCAGCCGTGTCACTGAGTGACAGTACATCCAGCAGAAGGGAGGACAGCAGCCGTGTCACTGAATGAGAGTGAACCAAGCAGAAGGGAGGTCAGCAGCCGTGTCACTGAGTGACAGTACGTCCAGCAGAAGGGAGGACAGCAGCCGTGTCATTGAGTGAGAGTGTATCCAGCAGAAGGGAGGTCAGCAGCCGTGTCACTGAGTGAGAGTACATCCAGCAGAAGGGAGGTCAGCAGCCGTGTCACTGTGTGAGTGTGTACCCAGCAGAAGGGAGGTCAGCAGCCGTGTCACTGTGTGAGTGTGTACCCAGCAGAAGGGAGGTCAGCAGCCGTGTCATTGAGTGACAGTCCACCCAGCAGAAGGGAGTTCAGCAGCCGTGTCACTGAGTGACAGTACATCCAGCAGAAGGGAGGACAGCAGCCACGTCACTGAGTGACAATACACCCAGCAGAAGGGAGGTCAGCAGCCGTGTCACTGTGTGAGTGTGTACCCAGCAGAAGGGAAGTCAGCAGCCGTGTCACTGAGTGACAGTCCACCCAGCAGAAGGGAGGTCAGCAGCCGTGTTAGTCTGTGTGACTACACCCAGAAGAAGGGAGGTCAGCAGCCGTGTCACTGAGTGAGAGTGCACCCAGCAGAGAGGAGGTCAGCAGCCGTGTCACTGAGTGAGAGTGCACCCAGAATAGGGGAGCTAAGCAACCGTTTTGACTGAGTGAGTTGTACCCTGCAGAATGGTGGTCAGCATTCGTTTAGAAGCTTACTTGTGTAATGTGTGGTCGAAGTTAGAGAGTTTACGTGCGCCTCAGGCAGTTTCACAATGTATTTTCTTGGTAGTGGGACTCAACATATGCTCCTTGTTGTCCGATACGTTAAAATTTGACTCAGAAACCACTGGAAGAATAAGGCTTAAACATCACGTGTTCCAATCAGTTATAATACATGAACGTTCGTACCTATTTTTAATTACCTGGCCGTTTATGCAGAAAATGTAACATGAAATGGGAGCAATAAATATGTTCTGTTTTACTTCTTCATTTTTTTAATATCTTACCTTTGTTTTGACCATGATTTTCTCAAAATGCATATTTTGTTCTGTTAACTCCATCCCCTGACAGACGGATGGAGTTGGACTTTCGCATGTATGTTTCTCCATTTGATTATTATTAATGTAGAAAATTTTTCAATATCAAAGCTTTTGTTGTGTGTCTGTCTTTGTTCATCCTTAAACAGTGCCGTGGCACTATTTGCTTTAAACCCTGATGCCGAGGACCAGGCAGGTTTACAACAAATACCATATTTTAAGGTCCTTTGGTATGACACGGCCGTGGATCTGATCACCGACCTTCAGCTCTCCGGGCAGGCGCTCTATCAACTAGACCACGGAAGTTGAAAATGGGTGTTTCTGCTTCTTAGAGTTGTTCTGAGTATGAAATAACATTTTGAATTTTAATCTTAAAAAATGGCACAAATGAATATTTATTTCAATCGCGAAGATGCCTAGACAGATACAGTTGTTTCGTGAGTCTTTAACTATTTGCATTATGACATTACGTTGTGTTCAGTGAGTTAGTGAGTGAATATGGTTTTACGCCGCTTTTAGCAATATTCCAGCAATATCACGGCGGGGGACACTGGAAATGGGCTTCACACATTGTACCCATGTCGGGAATCGAACCCGGGTCTTCGGCGTGACGAGCGAACGCTTTAACCACTAGGCTACCCGAACGCCCCACGCTGTGTTAAGCTAAGTTAGGAGCTCTCGTGTATAGCAAATCATGCAGTACACTGAAGGCAAGTCGTGTTTCTCAGGTAACGACAGCCACGGGACATACATGCACACAACCGAAACAGAGCACCGGGTTAACATTTTTACATCGAAAAATAACGAATACGAGTCTACAATTCATTTGTAAAGAAACGTTCCAGTTTTGGGTGCTCTATGGAATTCTATTCAAGCTTAATTCTGAAGCATCAAAGTTAAATGTACATGTTATTAAAAACATTATTGCTTAGTTATAATCGATCAGATCAACAAAGATATAAAAGATCAATTGATACGAGCTTTAAATATTGATTTAGTCTTTATATTACAACGCGTGCGTTGTTATAAATAATTTGCATATTCGTTGATATACAGGACATGCCACGAACATGCTTGTTTACCAGTCAGCTAATTGACACATATATGGGAATATTCAAGGATTGTACAGGAAAAGTCTAAATAAGTGTCAAGTGTCTAAATTTGTATTTAACAGAACAAAATACGCTCGATTCCAATTGACTACAAAGGCAAGCAAACTGGTACCTATTCTGCAGTGGAAGTCCCACGAAAAAGCTAACTGGTATTAGACCATACGTCGACACACCCAACAAGTTGATAATAATTGTCACATACGAGGAAAACCAGATAAGGAAGGAGGAATATTATGTTGAATAGGGTATTACTATCTACTGTAACAAGGAAACTTGTTGTCGTAGTCAATAATGCGTCAGTGCTATCCAGATCCAGTTTCTATACATTTCTATTTGTTTGAGAACTATATGCGTCAGTGCTATCCAGATCCAGTTTCTATACATTTCTATTTGTTTGAGAACTATATGCGTCAGTGCTATCCAGATCCAGTTTCTATACATTTCTATTTGTTTGAGAACTATATGCGTCAGTGCTATCCAGATCCAGTTTCTATACATTTCTATTTGTTTGAGAACTATTTGCGTCAGTGCTATCCAGATCCAGTTTCTATACATTTCTATTTGTTTGAGAACTATATATGTTACAGGTAAAATATGTTCCCATTTTATTTATAAATCTCGTCAGTTATCCGTCATCGAATACTGATCAATGAATGCATATGAGGAAATTTAAACTGATAACTACATGTATGGTGGAATGAGTGGAAATGCATAATACGCTGATCAGCAGCAAGATTACTACTGATGAATTTGGTCCAAAACTCCTAATGTGAATGTATTTTATTTCTCATTTCTAGTTCTAATAGTTCGAGTGACTAAGATTTTCCTGTATATATAATTAAAAAAATACATCTTATTTATCTGTACCATCACACAATACGATATTGCAGTATTTCGACATAGCGATACATAAAAGGCCATAAAACACGTGTCCAATATGAAGACATGACACGCAAAATGTCAAGTTAAATGAGAACTCAATATCTCATGTGTCTGCCATTAGCGGCCTGGCACCGCCTGCCTGTCCTCATCTGGCCTACACCTCATATCGCCTACACTACTATCAAAACAAATTTATGGATGAGTGCACATCACACTTGTACCCTTATCTCTTAAGTAAAATGAACTCTTGCAACAAGATAACAAAGAATGTAAATGACTTTTGATACTGTAATTTCATTTTGTATATGAGATCATCTTCACAACTCAAATGTTTTCACAAAATCAAATATCATAAATACACATGTATTATCATAGCACTGTACATTTATATCCATCACCTTCATGTTTTATTACATAAGCACTACATCATTACTAGCAAAATTACTGTAATTTGATGAAATGTCCAACTGCATCCAGAAACTGGATCACTGATCTTCTGCCAACAGCAAGCTGCTGCTTCAGTCTCTCGATCCTTGCATCTCGGTCTCTGTCAACACGAGCACGAGGTCTCATTGCACCACCCTGTCCAATCTGCCTTCTTGGCCGTCTATCTGCTGTCTCGATCTTCTTGAGTTCTTTGACAAACTGGAAGATGTTGGGATGGGTTCTCGGCATTCTCTTCTTCAGGCCGTTGTGGAAACCTTCAAGATGGTTGTTGGAGCGTGGACCGGTGTTCTCGTGTTGATTCCACAGGGCTCGAGGGAACGTGGCATTGAAGTCCACTTACGTGCTGGTGACGTAGTCGTTGAACCCATCTGATCTGCTGCCCATATGGACCTTGCTCCATCACTTCAATCCAGGCATCATGGACTTCAGCTAGGGGTAGAAGCGGCAACGCTGCAGTTCTTCTGATGTGGGTCTGCACTGCTGGGTTGTCGGTGTAGTCTCGGGCCAGGCCTCTGTCCATAACTTGTCTCCACAGAGCCTGGGCGTAGTGGAAAAAGCATCCTCTGACGGAACTTGCTGGGAAGACATCGCTGATGGCACTGATGACAGCTGCTTCGTAGTCTGTCTGGATGATGTCTGGAGAGAGGTCTACCCCAGTCCTTGTGCCAACAACATCCTTCAGCAAGGTGAACAGTAATAATAATAACAGAATAATTGGATTATATCAGGTAAGGTAATGTATACACACTTACAAAACATTTGAGATGAGTAGACCTGTTAAATGATCAAAGTGGGTTATGACAGTAATCCTGTATAAACAGTCAAAATAAACTCAAGGATCAAAGGCCCATGTACTCAGGTCATTAATTGATATAAATGAATGAAATCATTAATGGGTTAATGGACAGTACCATTCTACACAACAGGGGTGTGGAAGAAACCATTTGTATTTAGTGAAGGCCATATGAGGTGTATGCGATATAAGGTGTAGATGAGGGCAAGCCACCGCCTGTCCACGGAGTACGAAGTACACGTTGGAGATTGATAGCTCACAAACCCTGTATTGTTGTTACGAGGTGATTTCCAAATTTAAACGCAAAGGTTCAACAAGAAATCTATTCATGTAGAACTTAATTGTGAAATAAATAAATGATTACACAAGATCAACGAGTAATTAATTATATTTAAAAACAGCTTTAGATATACATTCACAAAAGAGCCATGGAAGGATCTGGACATTGTTAATTCATACGAATATTGCTGTTACACATGTAGTATGCAGTCCAGCATTGTCACCTTGAAACATAATTAACGTGATGAAAACGTGCGGCTACACAATTCCATCACAAGAGCGCTGTGCTGTTCAGTTGCCTGGCACTGGGTTTGTTCTTCCGGTGTGAAAGAAATCCGCCCGTATTATTACGCTGCAAAAGCATATTCTGTTGATCAGCCTTCGTCGGCCGGTACACCCCTAGCGTCCAAACATCCTCAGTACCTCATAAACGTCTCTTTTCAGTATCGTTTCTACAACTGACTGCAATCCTCCGTGAAATAACGTCATAGTTAAACAGATGCTAACAGTCAACTTTTAGTCAATTTTTAGTCAATGTTGTGTCTGTAACTCAATTTCACTGTTTCGGAACATCGCATCAGTTTGTTACTATCGCTCTGTTGCGCGATATCGTGTTGATATGTCGGAGCGATATGGCGATGACCACCCTCAGAAAATCTTTTTATAACCTGTTGTAGAAAATGCAGAGAACCACAACAGGAATACCTCTGTGACACATCTTACCATCGACAACATATGTTTTATGTGCACCAACCCTGCCTGTCAAAGGCTAGTGTTGATTACACACCAACATGATCTAATGACGTCATAATTAAACCGACGCTAACAGTCAACATTTTGACATCGTTAGAAAACGAAAGAAAACATTTTTACACAGGTTCTACATTAAACCCAATATGCATAAAATGAATTTACTTTTCAATAACTCACGACTAGGAACATTGAGAAAACTGTCCAAATTCTGTAAAATCATCATGTCATTGTTTAAATATATCAAGTAACGCTCCCTCTTTCTGAATTGAACATATATTGCTACCATAGTAAATCTGGTTAAATATACATGTATGCTCGGCAAAGATGTTTTTGTATGTATTCTATATTCATATGTATATGTATTATGTTGTTGAAATACTTTTGTACCTCTGAGTGTAAATAAAGTTCTGTTCAGTTCAGATAACACATAACCACCCCACTGCATAACCCTGCACGTGCACTGATCACGTTGTCATGTGGTGTTACTTGTCTCATATGCATGTAACTGCTGTTGTACTGTCGCCATATCGTGTCGTGTTGTCATAATGTCGTGTCGTTCATCCACCGCATCGTCTCATTCTAACGCTTATTCAGTGTGTGTTTACTCTGTGTCGTTTGTGTCTGTATCGCAATATCACTGTATCGTATCGGAACATCGTGTCAGTTCGACTATCGCTTTGTTGCGCGATATCGTGTTGATATGTAGGAACGATATGGCGATGGTCTCCCTCAGTGACTGAGTGAGTGAGTATGGTTTTACGCCGCTTTTAGCAATATTCCAGCAATATCCAGCGGGGAATACCAGAAATGGGCTTCACACATTGTACCCATGTCGGGAATCGAACCCGGGTCTTCGGCGTGACGAGCGAACGCTTAAACTACTAGGCTACCCGACCGCGCCGGTTTCCCTCAGGAAACATTGTATCTTTTTATAACCTGTTGTAGAAAATGCAGAGAACTACAACATGAATATCTCTGTGACACATCTTACCATCGACAACATATGTTTTATGTGCACTAAACCTGCCTTTAAAAGTCTAGTGATGATTATACACAAACATGAACTAGCTGGACCTTGGCTGACTGCGTCATCAAAGCATTCACTCACACACAGTGATTCAATAGCACTTCCTCGTAGTTATCTACGCATTCCTTGATTTGTAACAATTCTTATCCAGTATATTCTGACAACACAAACGAGACCTATGTAGAACAAGGATGTAAAATATTGTTGTATATAAGAGGCCGTGTCACTGATGGCATACTCACACCCGCTTGGGTCGACCTGTCACATGTGGATTTGATTTTCCATCCAGTCATCTCAGGAGACATCTGGGATCTTCATCCCTTATTTTCATGGGAACCAGAAACAGCCGAGTGAGAGGATGAATTACAAGTACTTCCGTTTGGTTGTTCTTTTGACGGTGCTGCAGAGTGGCAAGGGTAAGTAACTCTGTTGTGGTTTTATTTGCCACGTTTCTTTGACAAATCACTGTTGTCACCAAAGTAAATCTCTGTTTGGAAACTATCTATTAACTGTTATTATTACAAAGAATAAAGATGTATGGTTTAATCGGTTTTTCAATCAACAGCGAATTTCACACATATTGATACCATAATTGTCACACGGTTGGAGATAACCAAATACTTGTCCATGCAGAATTTCGAACACATAATTGAATGACACTTGAATCTGCATAATTTGTTGGGATCCCAATAACTTAATTATTTGTGATTTGTATTTGATAAACACGATCTTGAATCCAAGTCTTCTTAAGATTAGATATTGTATGACCTCGTATGAGGTCAAGAATACCATAGATGAAATGAGACAAGCAAAATTGAGGTATATTCATTTCTGTTCATGAAAACAAAACATCTTTCAAATAGCCATAAATAATTCTTAAAATCGTACGCTGTAAAAAAAGGTGTTCAGGTATTTAACACGGACTTGACATGTTCAATAAAGGTTTTTGCGTGTTGCATCTCATCACGTTTAAGATCTATACACACAAACAGTGCTTGAATGTCAAAATCCGCCAGATCAAAGAAATCATATCATAAAAAGGTATGGATTTTTAAAATATGTTTAGGACTTTAATGTAGGGGACAAAAAACATGTTTAGGTTTGTCGTAAAAATCGAAAAACAAATTTTACGTTAAGGAGAACATACGAGTAATAAGCATGTTCTCTTTATTAACACACGTCCCAAGTTACTTAAATATGAAATACTTTTATACTCTGACAAAACATACTGCCATGGTGAATATTTAAAAAATAAACAAGAGCCCTTTGTAGTTTTTATCTATAACGTTTGCGTCACCGTTGCGTGCTGGCCGCAAAATGTGTTATCTGTTGATCACTGAGTCATTTTACAATGCATTGAACAAAGCTCTTTACAATTGCCTGGGGTTTCAAATGAATATTTTATTTTCAAAACCTTTATGTGCTGTACAAACTTTTGAAAAAATAAATACATTCAGAGCGTTCTGACATGTGTCATGTAACCGAAGTCTACTATCACAAGGTCCTCACATCATACTATGCTGGTTCGGGTCCCACTGGCGACACATGTTTTCCTACAAATTTTGAAATCTGTGATTTGAGTGTCAAAGTGAAAACAAACTAAGCATTCAGTTAATTATATGTTTACATTAATTATTGTATGACCGAATGATTGTTGGGCGGTCCATTCATGGAAAATAATGGATCCCCTTAACATTACATTGACTTCACAGATGTGTCACCCATATGTGTCATCACTGATTTTCAATGATCCATTCCTATAATTACAGTCAGCATTTTTACGTCCAATGGAATCTGTTTCTGAAGAAAAGGGAGACTGTTTATTCTATGGCGTTGAAGTTTTGAATTCTTTCGAAAACATTCTCAGTCTGCTAAAGAGGCTTCATATAATTTGTTACTCAACCCATAATTCCTCATGTATTTGGGTATTTGACAAAACTTAACTGACAACAACTTACTATACATGTTCCCTATGGTCAATACGGGTACGAATAGGTTCACAGTACCACATTCTTGTAAAGCAAGGACCAGTGGTCAGGGTCTGTGACTTTGCCCCGAAGTTTTGGGACATCGACCATGCTTTCAACAATTGCTTGCCTGATCCAGATTCGATTATAGATATAACTAATTTTGCTGCAGAATTGTTGTTTGTTTGTTTGTTATATAACGTTATTGGGACACGACGACATGCAATTTACCAAGTCACCGAACCTGTCTACCCAAACCATACAGTCTCCTCTTACGACCATCATAGGTTGCTGGGGACCTACACATTCTTAACCGGAATCCCGACAAAAAAATAACAAATACTATTGATGATCATGATAATATAGTTAGTTTTAAATACTGATTGATCCCTGATTGGTGACTTTCTCATTGTGACTGCGGGGCCTTACTATTACACATTCACGAATGTAACAACTATTGGCTCTTACATTTAGTTAACTTACTGACGGTAATACAGGATTTATTTTTATAAAAGGGTCATTTTATTATTTTACTTAACACATAAATCCATGAAATATTTCTCAAAAAGTATTGTTGTCATGACGAAAGCGTAAAGGGGCCAGGATACACGCCAAAATGCAAAAGTATTAAGGGGTGATTTTCAGTTCTTGTCACTGCGTGGCCATGGCCCTGATTTTTGAAGCATTTTCACAGTAACTCCAACAGTTCCTCTCGCTTACTGCTGACAATATAGAGATTGAAGTGAAGGTGTTTGTGACGTCATGAGTAGCTGTTTGTAGTACATGCAGCACCATAATGTGAGCAGAGCACCCCTCTAAAATTATCAGGTACATTGAGTTGGTCTGTCGTTGTGACCGACGGTTCCAGCGTATCCGGCAGATCCACGGCCGTTGTTGAATAGAGCGACTCACATAATGGGACTATTTCATTGGCACTGTCCTTGTAGAATGTTATTACACTTGGAGGGTTCCTTTGGCCTATGAAGGACATTCCTCAAACTGTTGCGATATTGACCACGTCATAGCACGGACACAGTTATTTGAGTTCTGCACATTGTCCTGCCGATGGGTGTGGTTCAAGGGTACAGCACATCTGTCATCTTTTGATCTCGCTGCCAACAATACCAGAATTCAGTACATTATATATGGATGTAATATCGTTTTGAATTGACTTTACAGGTGAAGACTACGTGGTGGCTCTGGCATATAGAGGCAAATACTCGTACATCAGGTACACAGCTGGAGAAACCGGGGGCCTGATGGAGATACAGTATCCACACTTCGCCTATAGAACATCCAGTGAAGTGGGTCCCTTCAATGGGGGTTCACGCAGTGTTACCGATAAGATGAAAATCACTAGTGTTGTAGAAAATACAGCTGTCGTTGTAAGCGGAAGTGACGAAGATGTAAATATTCTGGTAGAAGCTGATGGTTTATTCTCTCCATTTCCTGTATCTGTCCTTGGGACCAAGTACTTTGTACCTTCCAGTCTTGCACCTAACAGTTATTATCGATCCTTGCTACTGATAATTACACACAACATGAGCACTGATGTTAAACTATTATTTCAAATGGGAAAAGGAAGTGTTTACTTTGTCAACTACGAATATGGTGACGGCGATACTCTGTCCATCAAACTTGATCCATATCAAACGTTGATGATAAACACCCCACATGATCTGAATGGAACAGTAATTAACAGTGAACACAATGTGGCCGTCTACAGTGGTATAGACTATGCCTCGAAGTACACTGTGTATGACCAACTATTGCCTGTCAAGCACCACGGACAGGAGTATGTTGTTGCTGTTGATGACACCAAGCTGGAGCTGCAGATCATCAGTGAACACAGCCACGTGCACATCACTTTCAGTACCGGGGCCACAGTCTCCACTGGTGAGCGTCGTCTCTATAACCGCTCACTTCAACTGGGAGAGAGTCTTCACTTCACCACCACACACCCAGTACTGGTGACACTCAGTAGAGCGGATGGTTACAGCAGTGCCTTCGCAACTGTACCACCTGTACACTCTTACGTCACACACAGGGGTGTCTGGCTTCTGGGTAACAAACTTAATACAACATTAAAGATAATAACTGTGAAGACAGCGAGAGTGTTGATTAAAAACGAACAACTAAACGATGTTCTGACATGGATGGATGTACCGGGCAGCAGATACAAAGTTGGCACAGTGAAGTCAACCAAAGGGTATACATCTTTTACGTTCATTTCCAGCGACCTCCCCTTCACAGGTCTGTCCTTTTATAACGGATCGGTCCATAACATCGGCTACAAATTGTCTGCAGAGGAAGCAGTGCAGTATACAGGTATGTGTCACAGTTTCCGTCATGATAATGGCATTATAGTTATCAACGAACTACGTTTGAATACATTGATTGACTGTGTAGTTAGTACATGTGTGTAATGTTTTCATGATGTTGTCTGAGGCGCAGTGTCATTTAGCTCGCATGCCATTATATTACTAAACTATTTTTAAAAGCGGAGTTAAAGACTTATTTCATAACAAATGGTTACAAGCTAAACACTATTCTGTACTTCTGACAAATTTCTTTTTAGACCTATGCATGTAGGAAACTTGTCAAAGAATGGGGTCTCTTCGACTGTTGCCTATTGATAATCTTTCACAACATAACGTTGTATTAATCAAAATCAATTATTCTAATATAGACATCTGTGCCAGAGAAGATACTGGTATTACTTTGTCTTTAATTCGCTAATCATAAGGTTTATTAAATACATAAACATTAACATTCCATACAGGGGAAAGTTACTTGATGGCATTGCCGGGATACGATCCCTCCTCCTACGATCCCCTGATACTCGCCACTGCTGGGGAGACAGGAGGCCAGTGGCAGGTACAGGATCCTATCTCCGGGCGCGTCTGGTCTCGACGCTTCAATCCTTACAACACAGACTACTTTTATCCTAATACCACAACAACCAAGGTAGTGCTTGTGCATGTGAGAGATGAGACTATTCAGATCAGTGGTCGACTGACCCCTTACACATTATTTTCTCCCCTTCCTGTGTCTGCGCTAGGCACCAAGTACATCATTTCTTCCTGTCTTCTTACTAACAACATGTATAGAAGCACAGGGTACAAAGCAGTCTTAGTGATAGCAACACACAGCAAGAAGGTGGATGTTGACATCATCTTCCGATTGGAGGGCAACGTGACCTACAACGGCAGGACGTACAGCGACGGGGACACCCTCAGTATGAGATTAGATAAATATAAGACTTTCTCCATAAACAGTTCATCTGATATGACCAGAACCATTGTTAATGCCACGGAAACAATAGCTGTCTACAGTGGAACATACGATATGCGCCATAGAGTCTTTGCAACTCATGAGCAATTACTGCCTGTGAAACATTATGGCAGTGAGTATATTCTCGCTATCCAAGATTCTTCTTACTATCGAACGTCCATGGGTACCCTACCATACCAACTTCAAGTTGTTACTGACCACAGTGACGCAAGCATCATGTTTAATAACGGTTCTTCCGTCTCTGTGGGTAAAGATGGACTGTACCGTGAACAATTTGGAAGTTTTGAAACATTTTACTTCAACACCACAAGGCCAGCCATGGTCACATTGTGTACTATTGGGACGTATTATCATTTTGTCCCTGATGGGTTAATTGTAGTACCACCAGTATCCCTCTACTCTAAACAAACAACCCTACAAGTCCAAGGTATCAGGGAAATAATGACAGATAAAGACAACAACAATGTACAAGTTCAAGAAATGCCTGCCCTTCTCTCTACAGTTTTCAGTCCTCCAATAAAGTGGACGAAAGTTCCAGGTACAAGATACAAAGTGGGAACATTACCAAGTGGTCAACACATAACAACAATTCGTTCAAATTTTTCCTTTGCTGTCCTTGGATACGGTAGATTTGCCATATACAACGGAGGATACAATTTTAGGACATATCTTGATGCAGGTAGGTCTTTTCATGTACATTTATACGTAAAACTTAAAAGCCTACATTCCTTCGATGCCTTATTTCTTTATGTAGGTACGTAGGTCCTTCAGTTCTTTACTTGGAGTCAACCTTCTCCTCAAGACACATGTCCATGTACCTACAGATGTGTAAGGGCAATTCTTTGAAGCAAGAATCAACAGTATTTGCATGGCCGTTTGAGAACAAAGCCTGACGTTGTAGGTCCAATGCCATGTGGTGATTTCGAATCGGAATGGTTTTCAAGTACTTAATGTGCCGATGCTCATAATATTAATCACTGGCTTGTTTGATTCAGACTAGATTATGTTTAGGCCACCGTAATACACCTGGAATATTGTTGTGTGCGTTGAACAATAAACACAGTATGTGCCGACTAAACTGGGGTCGGGTAGTCGATATCTGTGACTTTGCTCATTGTTATTGTGTCCTGAATACGGAGATCGTTGGTCGTTCTTTCATTCACTGGTTTGCCTATTCTAGGCATAATTATTAACAGGTTAACATATTGCTTATTGCAGCGTTAAGCAACTTATACTCACTCTCTTACTGCCGTGTGACTGCGGAATTGTGTTAAAGGAGTTTAGATAAAAATAGTAGTTGGTCCGACAAACGCAACGTTGTCAATAATATGTAACAATCATTGTGCCTTTTATTCGTATAAACGAAGCCAACACACCCTTCTGCAATATATACTGCTCGGTATACTGCCATGCTTGTGTCAGTTATCCAGACACTTCATACATTGAATTGCTTTGCTGATTCGTTCCAGAAGCATCCACGCCAGATGGAATTAATGAAAACACGTTAAACACGGGTGATTCTTTTCAAGGTAAATGGGTAATGGTATTCCTTTTCCCGTCCGTCGTCCATCGTCTGCCATGTTTATCTTCTTTGCCATATATATGTCGTGGTACAGCTTATATATATGTCGTGGTACAGCTTATTGCAACGTTAAACATATTTTACTCTCTCATTAACGTGTTACTGCGGAAGTGTGTCAAAGGAGTTAAGAAAAAATAGTAGGTCTCCACTAACAACTTTCTCAATAATGCGTAACAGTCATTGTGTCTACTATTCATGTTCAAAGTGGCCTCAAACCAAACCAGCTCATTCTTCTGTATGTTTGAACCTGTGCACTGCTTGGTGTACTTCTATTCTTGTGTCAGTTATCAAGACAATACATACATTGAATACCTTCACTGATTCATTCCAGTGACCTCTACGCCAGATGGAATTGGAAACAAGTTAAATACAGAAGGTTCCTTACAAGGTGAATGTTAAATATGATTCTTTTTCTCGTCCGTCGTCCACCATGTGCCATGTGTATCCACATTCTACTTTGCCTTGAAACTTATACCTATCAACATATATTGATGTATTCGTTACGCGGACCTGTTTTCGAGCTGATCATAAAAGTCACCACCATTATATTGTACAACTTAAACACTGATTTGCGATTGTTTTGTGAAACAAGGCCAAGGATTGATTGTAGCTGTCACAGATACGCTGGAATACCAGACTTTTATTAAGCAGACAGGTCATAATAACAAAGCTGTGAGTGATATTCTTTCACTATCTTCTTCCCCCATGCTCAGCGGCATTTATACTGTTGATTTGTTATCATGTCTGAAACATGAAGGACGTTATTTCTGTGTCAAAAACAACAACGTTAATATCAGTGAAGAAAACGATAGTTGCCATGCCAACGACATCATCATTCAGTGATGTGATGAGTGCAAAACGCCATGTCTGTATATCGTGATATGTGGCCTTTTATGAAATATTACAGTCCTTTTGATTTGTAAAAACATTCAATTATTTTTAAAAATATATTCATTTCAGCAGACAATCCGAACAACGCAGCACTGATCGTGGGGATAATCTGTGGGACTGTTATTGTGGCTCTCCTGGTCGCCTTTATGTCATATGTATTCTACATGTAAGTGTTTATATTTGTAAGTGTTTATATGTTTAAAAATTGTAGTTAACTGAGATTTATTTCTCAAACGTGATCGTTCTTAACTCTTAAATAAGTCGATAACCACAACATTCAAATCGTCGAAACGTATTACAATCTCTTGAACAAGGGATAAAGTTCCATGGATATACAACTTCTTTATTACAATGAAAGCGGCGTTTTGGTGTTGATACTTACACCGGAACGTCGCTTTTATTGTCATAAAGAAGTTGTATATCCATAGAACTGTATCCCTTGTTCATTATGCAAACTTCGAAAAGCCACTTAAAGACGTTATCTCTTAAACATGTTACTCAGCAATACCCTCTTAAAAAGTACGGGATACTTGGAAATAACTTAGAATTTCCAAACTTGTATGATATATTAGTTTCGAGTAATAATTGCATGATAATAACGAATTGGGAACACATTACAACCGGTAGTGAAGTATAAGAGTTGATGTTTTTGGATCAGTAGTGCGTACTACCGCCACGTTTGTCAAACATTCATTCAATTGACGAGGCATACCGCGTATGAGGCGTCATAGTGATGCCACCCGCCACAAAATACGACCCACCGCCAAGTCTGTCATGATGTCTCAGTTTGACATTGGCTTAACGTTCATTTCGACGTCGCCGGACACGACCACACCTATCAAGGACGTGCAAAGTGAATCGGGACTCATCTGAAAAATGACACGTGACCAGCGACGATTACCCCATTTATGACGTTGTCTACACCATTGACCTCTGTTGGCTAGATGACGATTTGTAAGTGGCGGCACAACACGTGGCTGTTGAGCATAGATGATGAGCTGCTTGTAGGTGATTTCTAATCGTTTGACCCGTACTCCAGTTGCCTGAAGTTTGCAGCAGCTTGATTCGCCGTTTGAGCTCGATTTTGTAGAGCCTGGTTTCGGATCAGTCGATCCTGTACTCTTGTCGTTGACCTCCTGGAACGCCTGAAAGAGGACGATTGTCACACTTGCATAGGATGTTTGTCGTCAACACCTGTTCTTTTACTGGTATTAACATTTATATTTCATGATCCCCTCCATTTTTTAAGAGAATAATTTATGAAAGTGATCGTCCATATCCACAATTCAGCAATTGGAAGACTAAGACTCAAAACCAAATCAAGTTAGTGTTGCTATAGATGCAGCCCGTAGCAGCATATATGACTGCTGCAAGTACATAAATGAGAACTAGCTGCTGAGAGCTTGAGGAATCAGCCACGTGACGCATTGTAACCATTTGAACCGAATTTATGTCGGCTGTAATGACAAACAGGGTGTCATTTGGACGTATTCTGTGCGTGAATTAACTCAAGGATGAACCGCAAATTCAAGATCACATGTATAGAAACAGCTCGCGATATCAGCGGTTTTGTCCTGTCCCACTGGTAACATACATAGTTAATTGTGGAGTACACACAGACAGGATGAGATATGTGTGATACTATAGCAGTATCAGTCGTAGGGTATGTGCGTGGTGAAACCCAATAATATTTTCGTGAACAAGGAAATGGATAGGATATAGAAACTATTTCATGCCCTTTTAAATATAATATATCTGGCTGTAACAGATATTTCTGGTATCACAAGCATATGATTATTTTAGTTTACTTGATATGAGTGTCTTAGCTACCATAAGTCATGTAAATATAGAAATCCTTTCTCAGTTACAGTTCCAGCTACCTTATTTTATTATTTGTTCAACCCCCCCTCATACATAAACAATAACAAACAGCCATTTAACTGAGCAAGCTTCTGCGTGATAAGTTTTATGATAGATTATTTCTCTCTCTAATACACCCTTTGCACTGCCTAACACTGTAGTCCAATCCCTTCCTCTTTCAAGTCCCTTTGTCTTTCTGGTCAGATAAGGTACTCAGCTAATCTGTACACTGGACACCTCAGAAGTTCTGGGGTCACTACACATATATTCTTTGAGGGATACAAGCGTATCTTATTCTGTTTATCATTGTGAATCTGAAGAAAATGATTTAATACTTTAATACTCGCTGTTTGGCTGTATCTTACGTTGGATTAACTACAGTAATTTGTGTGACTGTTTCTCTTTTTAAGCCGCAAGAACACGATGCCACTTAAGAGTGTTGAAGCACAAGGCGCCGATGCTCCCTCGACCTCCAACATCTACACTGTGCCTGACAGTGTCGCTGAAGGTGCAGCAGATGAGGCCACCTACACGGAGATAACAACTAATTGCACACCTCTCGACGTTAGCATCGCTGACAGTTCTGCCATATATGTCAATTTCGAAGGTGGAAAATAACTCGAAACAAAGCAAACATGAATTAGAACTGTTATAGAAACCGATTCCGAGACATTTAGCTGTCTTATTGTCTTAAACTACGGTTATAAAGAATTCGAAGGAACCACTAACTTTAGTTTGTTATAACCGTAGTTCGTTATAAGCATATATACAGCATAACTATAGCAAATAGTCGGGACCAAAAAATCATTTCGTTATATCCGTCAGTTCGTTATAAGCGTGTTCGTTATAAACGTACTTTACTGTAGATACATTCTCTCAAACACACTGAGTAAATTTTTAAACATTCATGTTATAAACATTTAATGATTTGTGTACATATGTTTTATTTTCATAAGGATAAATCTAAAGTCGTATTCATGTGACTTTTCAGAGTTTATTTAACAATTAGGACATGTATCAGAAGGCACAAAGAGCTTTGATTGTATTACATTTAATTTCAAAAGGTAAGTACTGTCGTATTAAGGTCATGAAATTGTATCTGCTACAGTTTGAGTAAAGTACAAGGCATCAACCAGGACATGATTCACGGACATAGCTGCCCCCAACAACTGAAATTTATAAAACACAGAATGAAACATTTCAATGTGTTCTTTGCCTTCAGAAACAATCTCTGACCGTGCCATTTAACTAATATGTTTGTAGAACTGTCAGATGAGGGAGTATTTATTGAACAGGTTCCAGAACCAACTTGGTTTTATTTATATTATCATGTAAAGTAGAATCATTAACAATACCGCTACATGTTGATTGTGGAAATGGTTTCTTCGTTTCTATTCCTCTACTCATTGGAAAAGGAAGAATGAATTTTGGAAACAACATTGTGAAGCCTCATTTTAGTTTTTAGTGTACCATTTCACTCACTGGGCTGCAATTGTGAATCAGGGGGTCGATTTGACAGCAGTAGAGATTTTAATACTTTTTATTTTTCGTGTAGCAACTTTGTATTATATTCGTAGTGTTGTTTTTTTATCATTTTATTGTTGTTTTGGGTTTGTATTTTGGGGGATTTTTTTCGGGCGAGAGGGGGTACATTTTTGTACATTTTCTTAATAACATACATGTAGATGCAGTTTAAGAACACACTGTTAATTGTTTCGTCATTGTGGAAGTAGTAAACTGGATGCTTTTCACGGATGGTTTGGTTAAAGGTTTGTTAACAAGTATAAGCATTCATTCAAGTTAGTTTCAAATGAATGTTCAATGTGCTGAGCATATTTTCACTGTTATACAATGACTTAATATTTATATTTATTACATATGTTTTTTTTACGATAATACATATTCAGCTAGTATTTGTAAACATATATTAAGAGGTTATGTAAAATGCTCAACATAAGACTTTTCAGCATGCTCAAACCGACTTGATTAAAAAACAGTTACATATGGCGGTACTCGAGGAAGTGAACTGGTCCCATCTGCATTTGTTGTTTTTGTAGATATTGCATTGTTGCGCGGATCGTTCACGATAAGGCTATTTGGTGTTACGGGGCGTGCATAAAGCACCTCTCTTTAAAAACACATTTCAATTTGTTGTGGTGAGTATCCCTGACATCCATTTCAAGGAAAAGCACCGCACTGGGGTTAAATCGATGTTATTATTTAGTTATGTTTAATTCCAGAGTTTGCAGAGTTCTATACCCAAGCTGTGTGACTATATTGAAATAAGCAGGACAGGGCAACACTATAGCAGTCTCAAGCTAGATTTTATTTTTCAGTTTTCTTAAATTGGTTACTTGAGTTACCAGTGACAGTTTGACAGTGATTAAATTGTGTCACATACGGTGATGTGGGAGGATAGCTTTAACTGACGGTTGAAAATGTTTAATTCTTGACTCTTTTTGTGTAGCAACCTTTCATTGTATTTGACCATGTTTCTTATGATTTCATTGTTTATTGTTTACTTATACGATACAACATTTAAAATACATTCTAATAATTAATTTTTGTTATATATACTAGTATATGTGTAGTTTTGTCATTTATTCATATATGCACATCTTTATATCTGATATATTCGTATTTCTTTCATTTGCGAGAGGTTATTTCTAAATTTAAAGACCACCCCTTAAAAAACATTAAATCACCCTTGATGCTTTTGAGAGATGATTTGTTTAAGATCTGATGTCTTCACATGTATGAAATTTCATGAAGCTTTGTAAAGTTGTGTTTCTTTTGGAGATTTCTCATTGTTGTCATTGAGAGTCATAACCATAAAAAATAGCTGGAACCATAAATAATTCTTAAATGTTTCATTTTCTTAGAATTAGCTTATTTCCATCTTTCAATAAACTTTCAATAAAGTATGAAGCGACGTTCATCATTTGTAACAGCTGCGGGGTACTGCAGACTCACATTGACTTCCCTCTGCGTGTGTTTATGACAAATGCCACCAGTGGGTCCTGGCATCATCACCATTTGACAATGATTTAGAAACACATGCTCATCATATAGACGGAAGCGTACAATGTATTTATCTTTCAGCAGAAGTTTCTTGTGATTAAGGCAAAGGCGTTGTCGTCTGTATATTATTGTATTAAGATGAGGAAGATGAGGTTAGGTGTGATGTGATTACTTGAGGAAGGAAACTCAATCTGGTTGAAATCAAAATGGATCAATGCATTCAATAACAGGACCAAAACCGAAGCATACACGTTACAGATAAAAGCAACACAACCATTTCCATAGTCAGAATCAGGTGCCAGCGAAAAGTAAAATGCAAAGGCTGGTCATCAATTGTTCCCCCGAACTTAAAAGGGAATATTCAGGACAGGTAAAAGGTAAAAGGTTATTCCACTCGGGACGTATATTGGAATACATATAAAAGCTCGTTTGATAGTGTGGCTGACGGGTTTAGTGTCACTGAGTGAGAGTGCATCCAGCAGGAGGGAGGTCAGCAGCCGTGTCACCGAATGAGAGTGCGCCCAGCAGACGGGAGTTCAGCAGGCATGTCACTGAGTAACAGAACACCCAGCAGAAGGGAGGTCAGCAGCCGTGTCACTGAGTGAGAGTCCATCCAGCAGAAGGGAGGTCAGCAGCCGTGTTAGTCAGTGCGAGTACACCCAGCAGAAGGGAGGTCATCAGCCGTGTTAGTCTGTGAGAGTACACCCAGCAGAAGGGAGGTCAGCAGCCGTGTCACTGAGTGAGAGTCCATCCAGCAGAAGGGAGGTCAGCAGCCGTGTTAGTCTGTGAGACTACACCCAGCAGAAGGGAGGTCAGCAGCCGTGTTAGTCTGTGAGAGTACACCCAGCAGAAGGGAGGTCAGCAGCCGTGTCACTGAGTGACAGTCCATCCAGCAGAAGGGAGGTCAGCAGCCGTGTTAGTCAGTGCGAGAACACCCAGCAGAAGGGAGGTCAGCAGCCGTGTCACTGAGTGAGAGTCCATCCAGCAGAAGAGAGGTCAGCAGCCGTGTCCATGAGTGAGACTGTAATGTGTGGTCTAAGTAAGAGAGTTTACGTGCGCCTCAGACACTGTTTCGAAATGTATGTTCTTGGTAGTGGGACTCAACATATGCTCCTTGTTGTCCGATACGTTGAAAGTTTACTCAGAAACCACAGGAATAATAAGGCTTAAACATCACGCTTTCCAATCAATTATTATACACGAACGTTCGTACCTGTTTTAGATTACTCGGTCGTTTATGCAGAAAATGTAACATGAAATGGGAGCAATAAATATGTTCTGGTTTATTTCTTCATTTTTGTACATATCTTAACTTTGTTTTTACAATGCTTTTCAATTTTCTCAAAATGCATATTTGGTTCTGTTAACTTCATCCCCTGACAGACGGAGGAAGTTGGACTTTCGCATGTATGTTTCTCCATTTGATTATTATTAATGCAGAAAATATTTGAATATCAAAACTGACAGCTTTTGATGTGTGTCTGTCTCTGTTCATATTTAAACAGTGCCGTGGCACTACTTGCTGTATACCCTGATGCCGAGGACCAGGCAGGGTAACAACAAATACCATATTTTAAGGTCCTTTGGTATGACACGGCCGGGGATCTGATCACCGACCTTCAACTCTCCAGACAGGCGCTTTATCCACAAGACCACGGAAGTTGAAAAGGGGTGTTTCTGCTTCTTAGAGTTGTTCTGAGTACGAAATAACATTTTGAATTTTAATCTGACAAAATGGCACAAATGGATATTTATTTCAATCGCGAAGATTCCTAGATAGATACAGTTGGTTCGTGAGTCCTTAACTATTTGCATTATGACATTACGTTGTGTTAAGTGAGTGAGTGAGTGAGTGAATATGGTTTTACGCCGCTTTTAGCAATATTCCAGCAATATCACGGCGGGGTACACTGGAAATGGGCTTCACACATTGTACCAATGTTGGGAATCGAACCCGGGTCTTCGGCGTGACGAGCGAACGCTTTAACCACTAGGCTACCGGACCGCCCCACGTTGTATTAAGCTAAGTTAGGAGCTCTCGTGTATAGCAAAACATGCAGTACACTGAAGGCTAGTCATGTTTCTTAGGTAACGACAGCCACGGGACATACACGCACACAACCGGAACAGAGCACCGGCTGAACATTTTTACATCGAAAAATTACGATTACGAGTCTACAATTCATTTGTAAAGAAACGTTCCCGTTTTTGGTGCTCTTTGGAATTCCATTCAATCTTAATTCTGAAGCAATAAAGTTAAATGTACATGTTATTAAAAACAGTATTGCTTAGTTATAATCGATCAGATCAAAAAAGATATAAAAGATCAGTTGATACGTGCTTTAAATATTGATTTAGTCTTCATATTACAACGCGTGCGTTGTTATAAATAATTTGCATATTCGTTGATATACAGGACATGCCACGCACATGCTTGTTTACCAGTCAGCTAATTGACACACATATGGGAATATTCAAGGATTGTACAGGAAAAGTCTTAAGAAGTGTCAAGTGTTTAAAATTGTATTTAACAGAACAAACTACGCTCGATCCTAATTGACTACAGAGGCAAGCAAACTGGTACCTAGTCTGCACTGGAAGCCCCACGAAAAAGCTAACTGGTTTTAGACCATACGTCGACACACCTAACATGTTGATAATTAATTGTCACAGACGAGGAAAACCACACAAGGAACGAGGAATATTATGTTGTATAGGATATTACTGTCAACTGTAACAAGGAAACTTGTTGTCGTAGTCAATAATGCGTCAGTGCTCTCCAGATCCAGTTTCTATACATTTCTATTTGCTTGAGAACTATATGCGTCAGTGCTATCCAGATCCAGTTTCTATACATTTCTATTTGTTTGAGAACTATATATGTTACAGGTAAAATATGTTCCCATTTTGTTTATAAATCTCGTCAGTTATCCGTTATCAAATATTGATTAATGAATGCGTATGAGGAAATTTAACTCATAACTACATGTATGGTGGAATGAGAGGAAATGCATAATACGCTGACACCAATGTTCAGCAGCAAGATTACTACTGATGTATTTGGTCGGAAACTCATAATGTGAAATATTTTATTTTACCTTTCTAGTTCTGATAGTTTGAGGAACTAAGATTTTCTTTTATGAACAAGTCCAAAATTCCATAATTGTGGATGCAAGAACACAAAACTAATGCTCGCATCAACAGGTTTATTGCGTGACGTTTGACAGTTTACAGTTTATACTTGGAGCCATGGCTTTAGAACGAATGGTGACGAGTCGGTAACGAGTTGAACTGTTGATGAGGTTCAGAAAATTACAATAAACAATAGCTTTCTGTAAATTCAGAAAATATTTACCAATTTTCCTAGTATGAAACACATTCAAAATTACATCCAAATGAAGCAATAAATATATTGACTACATTGAAATTAGGCATAATTAACAAGCACACATTTGCAAGTATGATGTAAAGGTTGTGTGAAATATCTAAACAATTTTGCACTAATTTAATATTTTGGTATATGTACAATTTCAGGGTGTTCAGAAATAAACATAAAACCTAACAATGAAAGGGAAAGGTACTCACATGTGTCTTTACATAGTTCAAATATAGCAGGCAGTAAGGTGAGAACCTGGCAGCAAGGAGGTCCAATACACGCTGGTGAGCATGTGCTTCGAAATGCATGAGCTTTGAAGAGGTCGTGACGTGACATGTGAGCTTTGACATTGCACGTGAAGGTTAAGGTCACGGGGTAGTGGAAAGTTACTGAGAACATGAAAACATGGTCAACACGTATCTTAGAATTGATAAATATTACGTGGAAATTGAACTTTAGAACATTAGTGTAATACCATCGGACCACCATGGATAATAAGTTAAATCAAGTGTAATATCTTAACTTGATTGCATGTCATTTCACTAACAGTTCATACTTTGAAACATTAGGAAAACTTGCATCTACAATAATATTTACCTGTACCCTAGTACAATACGATATTGCGGTGTGGCGATATTGTGATGATACGACACGACATGTCTGTGACATAACTGAATATGTTATAATAAGATTTCCGCATCTTTTCATGTTCAGGATTTAGCAGTGCATAAGTTTGATAAACGCTAGCATAAATATAGAATACTCAACGAGTTCCCGGGTAATACCAAGCTTATCAAACGAGTGAATAGTTCTGATAAAATTGGCAGTACATAATCACGCGCTTTTTGTTAGTAAACAATGACATATTTAACGGTCGAGTAATAAACTTATATATTGAACTAGGAAGCCCGAAAGCACCATTTTGCTAGAAGAGGCACAAGTGTAAGGCTACAACAACATAATACAACATGTATTCTAATTGCAAAACCATCTCCAATTTATACTGATGTTTCTGTTTTGATGTATACCATTATATACTATTATATATTTGTAAAAACGTAAAATAAAGACGATAATAGATAATGATAACATTAAATTCAAACCCAATGTTCTCGATAAGCATTCTATTTTACAGTCCTCATAATAATCATGAATGGTAAAATCTATACATACCCCTCAAAATATGAAACGTGTAACATATGTGGGAAGTAACACATATTTTATTGCACATCTAAAAGCTTGATGTGTGACAACATATTGCAAACGGGACAACAGTAAACACGTGTCCAATATGAAGACATGACACGGAAAATGTCATGGTAATGAGATCTCAATATCTCATGTGTCTACCATTAGCGGCCTGGCACCGCCTGATAACGCACTCACGAGGTTGTTGTTACGAGGTGATTTCCAAATTTAAACGCAAAGGTTCAACAAGAAATCTATTCATACAGAACTAAATTGTGAAATAAATAAATGACCACACAAGATCAACGAGTAATAATTATATTTAAAAACAGCTTTACATATACAATCACAAAAG